GAACACTATTTTACTTGCCGTTCTTTTTAGAAGTGTAAAGCTTGTCCACGGTAGGGAGAAAGTAGAAGATGCAGCCAGTGTTAGGGCAGGGCTCCATCCAAATATAGACTTGTATTTATAATCCTATTTCTGCCCACGTCTAATTACTATACAAAGAAGTATATGTGTGTTGATGTGTGTGTGTGTGTGCACGATGGATGTAGAGGACATTGTGTCATCACACAGGGTAAACAGTGAATGAGTCACGGCTTGCCTTGGGTGGATTTCATTAACAGGCAAACAGCATCTATCTTTATCTCAACAATCTAAAAGCAGGATGAAGAGACAGACAGACACCCCACAAGAAGGATGGAGTCCAAATGATGATGTCAAATACGGCGACGTGGCGGCTTGAAGTTAGTCCAGGGAGCATAATAAAGAGGTAAAAAAAGAGAATGGGGTGATGGAGGAAGAGCACCAAGAGATAATGAAAACAAGAAGATAGGGAGGCATCACATTTTCATAAAACAGAGCCACCCCTTCCCTCCATCCTCCATCCCCATGGTGATGTGATCGTGGCAGACAGTGAGGAGAGAAGGAGCAAAGAAAGACATTAAGGGAGTGAAATAAGGAGTGCAGGAGAGCAGACCGGTCAATTTCCCCCACAGGTAGCGGCGCTAAATTATGATTTCCCATCTGATCTGCAGCTCACATCAACGCACACGAATACATGCACGCACACGGATATCATCCACAGGATTATTTAATTACAGCGAGTTCTGCAGAAATATTAAAACGCTTCACGCTGATATTAAAAATTACGCTTCCCTCGTCGCCCATTTATTTTCACTCTTTTTTTTGTGGTCTCAGCCTTGTAATAGTAGTAAGTTGGTGGCAAAGTAATTACATCTTTAGGCCTGGTCTCGGTGAAATTAAACACATGACACAGATAAAAATAAATGCCCTGCACACATCCATATGCTTATATACAGACAATCACATTCACAGTCATGCTCTCATGGACCCTCATAAGCTGGAATGTAACAGTTATTTATTGAAATTGGTGCATCTGCATAGTGAGCTGTTGGCTGAAAGAAGCAGTGGGACCAGCCATGGATTTGGTGTATTTTGTGTGTGTTTGAGCAACTTTGAAAGGAAAAAAAAAGCGAGAATCTTGTTAGTAATTTCTAGTTGTTACTCAATCTGCTGCTCCTTTGTGGAAATTTAATTTGTGCAACCAGCCACGGTTATGTATGAAAATCACTAATTATTTTTTGTCAGTTTGAATCACTGACTGTGGAGTTAACTCACATTAAGTCACATCAAATGTACTTAAGAGTAACACAACCCAGAGCTGATTCAGACCCTCTTAATGGCACGTCCATGACAAAGATAGATCATACAATCACTATACATAAAGATGATGACTCAGCAGGCTATTATTTACAGCTAAGT